AGCCTCCGATGCCTTTGCTGTTGGGTGCTTCGAGATTGAGAGTTGCGACTGTCATTGTCAATCGACTTTTCGATTCAAAACTAAGGATGATGAACATGCAGCAGATGATGGCCAAGGCTGGAGGGGCCGCGCCTCAGCAGGGCATGAACCCGATGGCTGCCATGATGGGAGCCTTGTTTTGCACATAGCAAACTGATTATGAGTGCAGCTTCATTTGCTCGTTTCAATGGATTCTCGATGCAGCTCCCCAGCACACGAAGTCCTCTTCGCTGTGCCATGCAACTCCGGAGTGCCCTTCGCCACGTGCTCAAGGCACGGCAAACATGGGCGGAGGCGGGCCTGCACCACAAGCCGTGGAAAAGGACATTAGACGGAGCTTTGACGGGGTCTCTTTTCACAGTCAGCCTGCGCAGCGGCTCGCCTTTTGCCGTGAAGGGTGTTGGACAGGCTGCTTGGTACCCAAGCGGCATTTGCAGCAGTTCACGCAGCACATGATGCCAGCTGGAAAGGGCCATCTGATCGTCGCAGGACAAGCCGTCAATAAATCATGACGACGACGATGCTATTGACCCTGACCTTCGTGAGCTTGGGGCACTTCTGCTGCACGAAGAAAGAACAGCATGACGTAAGGCTTAAGAATCTACATTGCGTGGACTGTTCTGTTCAGTTGCATGGAATCATTTCCTTGGACATGCACCTGTTCTCGCGGTGGCACAACTTTCTGCTGCCAAGCTCATGTTTGTATGATTTTGTATGCATCAAGTGGCAAATCTAAGGATTATTTCAACATTGAGGAGCGCTGGGTGGTACGCTTGAACGAGGCCCGATGATGTGGCACGACCCGCAGCTCCTGTGTCATTGTTTTCCATTGTCCAGGCCATGAAGAAGCGACAGGACACCAAAGCTCAGGACATCGAGAAGCTGTATGAGGTCTTAGAACCCGTGGTTGCAGTATTTTCTAGCACACCGGTCCATACAGAGCATGAAGTTTTGGACATGAAGTCTGCGATTCCATGCGCATGTGCATATTGTTGCCAAGGAGAAGGCTCGAAGTCCGACGGGACTGCTTACCGTGCAAATCGGGAAGATGGAGTGCGGGCAGTTCGTTGGCAAGGTCAAGCCTGACAAGGACGTGGAGCGGATTGCAAGAACCGTGACTGCATTGGTCCAGTGCCACTTGTCCCGGCGGCACCTCTGCACATTTTGTTTGTGCGGGGCAAGTCCTCGGAATCGCGCTCTTAGCATGAAACATTCAAATTTCAACTATCCTCTGCAGGAGTCCCACCGCGGCACCCGATAGATTTGTGCGGTTGCCTCACTGGTGTGCCATAAACCCCCGAGTTGTGCCAGGAAAGTTCAAGCTTGATGACCATGTGAGTTCAAAGATCACGGAACTGAAGGCAAGGAGGACCCAGGGTAGCTCTTGACATGTCCGGAAACTTCATGAGTCTTTCCAAAAGTTGCAAGATCAACAAACTTCAGAGCCTTGCCGACTGTCTGGCGACAGGCTTTCATGGTCCTCCGTTGGAAATTCAGGAGGGTTTGGGGCAAAACCCCTCTATAAAGACTTAAGAACTGGTGGCCCTATTTGTTAGATTCACTGTAAAACGACAAGGAATACTTAGTTGTTAATGCTAAGGATTCTGTGTCAAGATTTTTCAGTATGGCAGGTACGCAATGTAAAATAACACCAAAACCCAAGTGAACATAGCAGACGTTCCAAAAGCAAACCCACAGCATTGGTATCGAGTCATACTACGCCTTTGGGCCCGCAGTCTTCTTGGTCCTTGGCAACCGAGAACTGTGCTTCCAACTTCCAAGTATGGTAAGAGTATATCCGGACCCCAAAATCGGTTCGGGTTAGTGAGGTTTTACCGATCATCAAAACGATAACCCGAACGATGGGGCTTGGCAACAACATCTGTGGTCGGTGAACACTTGATCATCTGTGTTTATTTAAAGCCAGTACTAAGCGACAGGAGGAGTGGATGCGTGCAAAGAGTGCACTGCTCAAGGCCTTCTTTAAACTCCTTCCCTCGGATTACTGCTCACACAATCCCCTCCCCCCAGCCCTGTTACTTGGACTGTCTACTAGCAGAATCTCTTGTCCGGCTAGTACCCAGGCTCGAGTCCCCGTCCTCAGTAAGACCCCGAGAAGCTTTGTCAAGGACAGAGGCAATCCTGCGATGTAGCAACAGAGATAAACATAGTTCGGAACTTGTGAAACGATAAGCAGTAAAACCAAACGATAAGCTTTCAAAAAGGGATAGGAATCCGTGACCGACAGGACGTTAAAGTTAAAGTGTCAGTTATCCATGATACCGCAGCTCGGGTCTCCTCCCAACTTGTCGTGTGCAAACAATGCAAGTGGCTCATGTGCTCAGCCTGTAGAACGGCTTTCGTGGATCCTTGAATCCTTGAAGGTGTGGCGAAAGCGCAACGGCGAAGAAGAGCGAGCGATGAAGGACAGCGTGTGACTGTGCCAATCTGTCCGTCACCACTGCTGTGGTGTATCTTAGAGTCTAAGACGTTCATAGATGGGCGTCTCATGCGAAATTCATGTTGAAGCCTTTGACATGCTCGACGAGTATCATGCTAGAAGCATAGGTCTTGCCTTGCTGCGCTGTCATGACGATAGTCCTCGAGTGTTCTCAAGGACTTGGAGCGGATAGAATACCACTTGCGCTTTGCCAAGAGACCAAATGCGCTTTGCACGCTCCTAGCAGCTCAGCCAAATATAGACCCCAATAGTTTGGATTTCTGGCCCTTTCAGTCTGCACATCGACCCGTAGCCTGAGAGCCTTACTCTCCGCGTTTGCCCAAACGGTTGTGCTTGTCCTTGATATATTATATTTAGCCATGCGATAGGTTATCATGGGCTACAGTTATAGGCCTCAGACGCTAAGCTGCATCCTTCGCTAGGCGCAAAAGCTAAGGTTGGTAAGCTGCTCGAGGGTGAGGTCGACGAGCTGCCAGATCTCACCAATGCGGAGAAGATCATGACAGACTTCAAGCTAGACGAGGATAGGGTGGCTAGAAGCGAGTGTTGCGACAGATCTTTTGTATGAGCCAGCCTACAGGATGCCTGTTCTAAGATGCGAGAGATCATCGAGAAGCGTCTTCGACTCAGTGCAACCGCTATAAAATAGTTGACACAGGCACAAAGGCGAAGCTCGGATCAAGCAAAACAATCTCGCCGTGCAGCCAATAGCGTAGCTGCAGAGCACTTTCTCAACGTCGGGATTGGCGGGGGAAATCCGAGGCTCTGCGGACGAAGAGCGCGTGCTCACCTGCGTTCGGAAGCAACTCAAATCAGCAAGCAATGCATCGTCAATGTCCCTGGGCAGACTTCGAACATTGCACGGCAAGAGACGAGCGTGTTATAGGCGAACACACGGATCTTGCCGTCCCATTTCTTTTTGAGGGTTTGGGAGTTTTTGAAGCTTCAAAGCACGGTTGCTTTGTCATCCTCTGTAAGAGTCCCGTTTGTTGAATCTAGCACGAGAACAGTAGTCGTTGCAGTACATCTGTTGCAAAAAGGTAGTCAGAAAGAACAACTACCCTGCGGCTGATACCTTGTCTTAGTAAGGGTCTGTTTTGGTGGTATTCTTTGGTCACAAAGACACCACGACGGTACAGAACCTAAACGGTATCCAGAAAAATGTGACTGTATATGTCGTGCTTTAACGGCCCTATACTAAACCTGGGAGGATCATTCGATCTTTCGCCGGTGCACTGTCAAGGTTGTGCAAGATTGCTCGCACACTCATTGATGGCGGTGACTTGCCGGATCCGCCAGAGCGACCGCCAAAGGGTAAAGGTGGGGGCAAAGACGGTGGCAAAGAAGACGGCGAACGTGGAGAGCGTAGCTCGACATGATAATTATTGGGTTGCTCAGATACTGTAGCCCTGGTAAGTCGCGCTTCGTGTCATCCGCCCCCTGTCAGGCAGAGACCGCGACGGTGGGGACCGTCATCATGATCGTGACCGTGACTTGCCGGGACTGCAACAGTTTCGATTGTAGGACTGGGGGCCCGCATGTAGGTTTTCGCACAGTTTCCACCCTAGACAAACAGCCGTGAGTGACTTCAACGGAGCTGGAGGCCGGCGTGACCGAAGCCGCAGCCGTGATCGTCGAGACCGCCGCGACAGCCGTGGCCGTTAGTGATCGTTAGGGCTGCTGACAGCGAAAGATCGCGGCCGGGGTAAGGCAAAGCTCCATCGTGCCATGCAGACATGGTGCAGGTCCTGGTCTAAAGTGGCCGAGCCGACACGTAGGCTCCGCAAGCTGATGCAAGCAGAAAAAGCGTGCTGACAGGCTCATGGTCATGCTTTCTCCTCACAGTGATGGATTCCAGCTAGCAGTTCAATTGCTAGCTTTTTCCCACAGCCCTGTGCCAGCTCATTCCCGTCACAGGAGTTCCTTTCCTGCAAGTGTGGCTTTACGTGACTCGGCCAGAGCTGCACCTCGAAGCGGCTTTGCCTGGACGGCCGTCTTCAAACCACTTGGCAAGTTGCTGACGCCCACTGTTGTTGTTGCTGCGACACGCACATCCAATCTCCAACCCCCAAGGTGTGGAACTCCGAGCCTTGGAGGATCTTGGAGGATTGATAGTCAAGCCCTATTCGGCTGATTCGTTAAGGATGGCAGGCGCTGCGGCGTCGTGCACGCCATAGGACATGTAGCAGGCCACATTTTTGAATTCACAGGATCAGACGGCCTCATGCCTGGCATATGGTGTCAAAGGTGTGTTTGCACAAATACAGATACCCGTACATACATATATGCATGCACCCTCATGTGTCAAAATCAATCATCTGCCTCACTCCTGCCTTCCCTCTCTCGCTTGTTGTCTCTTGCTCGCCCGCAGAAGTGCACGTGCGCGAGACACATGAGGATGGCACAGCACTGAACGAGCAAGCAAGCAAACACCATGAACCAAGGCGACCGTTCTGTATCGGGCGTGCCACCCTGCAGGTCAAGCCAGCAAACAAGAGATGCACCATTTTCAGCCACAGGGCTTCGGCTATTTATGTTGCACTCGGGCCTCCCAGCAAGGAAAGCCTTGGAGAAGCACCAGCAACGCGGCTGCTCTGCCTCGGAGGTGAAGCAAGGCCGATGCCTGGGCCGAAGCGCTTCGTCACAACGAGAGGGGTCTGAAAATGTATCCTTTCTTCGGCATTTCATGGTACTGTCATCTAGTCCTTCAAAGATAAGGAGGCCCGGGGGACTGCCTAGTTCTTTGTCATTGATCGGGGTTCTATGCTTGCTGTTGTGTTGCAAAAAACCGGGCATCCACAACTTTTACCGACTGTCAGAGTTGTTTCCCCCACAAAGCCCCGAAACAGGGGAGCACCCCGCGGTGCGGGGAGCCTGACCCGCTCCCGACGCCCCGGCGAAGAAGAAGAAGAAGAAGAGAGTAAAGAAAGAGAGACGGACAAATCTGCGTTCGCGGCGATGTTCGCTGAGGTCAAACCACAGCCTTCACACCCAGTGCGGGGCGATGGTCGCAACCGATGGTTCGGAAGGCGGGTTGTGGCCAGAGGCATTGGTCAGGCAGAAATGTCTCATGGAACCGAGTTGAACCCTGCGAATGCCCGCCCTCCAGTCTTGCACCCCATGTCACGCGTCCCGACTCCCTCTCAGAGGAGCTCTCGGACAGCTTGCACAAGCGGCCTGGGGCCGAACTTGGCAACTTGCTAAGTTCGGATTGCGGCCAGGCTATGCCTTTGTTTGAGAGGCTGGACCAATCAGTGGTTGACATCATCATGGCAATCTCGCAGATGTCACGCAACTGGGCCCATTTAAACTAAACCCTGGGAGGTGCGTTGCAGGCTTGCAGGTTACTCCAGTGTGCAAACACCGCATGTATTGCATGCCCCCGTGTCCAGCCTGCGTTCTATCCCTGTGCAGGCCAAAGCTGCAGCATTCACGGTCTGACGCTGTAAGTTCTCAAACCCTCAGTCGGAGAGAAGAAGGACGGCATGTGCCGGGATTGTCTCGTGTGTGCGTGTGTGTCTTGGTGCTAAACATGTTTGCCACAGCCAAAGGAAAGGAAAACATACCCTGCTTGTCATTGATTCCAGAATGCCGGCGTTTGCTTGCAGGTGGCAGATTTACCCTTTGCTTAAAGCCATTAAAGCCTGTGTTTCAAGCATCATCATACAGAAACGGCTGCTTCAATTTCGAACTGTACCAGAGTCGGACCTATGATAGTGAACAGGCTCGGTCAGGTTACACTCCGTGTGGCAGTCAGAGGCAAGATCGCTTGCTGTCGCTCACCCGCCCCGCCTCACACTCAGCTGAGACCTCCACATGACTCAAACGAACCATGTCAAGCTAGTCCCAAAATATTGCTCAAGCTGTGTGCGAATAGCAAGGGAAACAGCATGCCCAGACCCCGATGCGAATAAGCACAACGCTGACCCCGAGAACGAGCAGATTATGCGCACTTCTAAAAGTGGGATTGTTGAGAAGAGCGCGGAAGAAAGCCATGGATTGTAAACCTAACAATTTGTGGAGCCTTGCCAGCTGCGTGCGAGAGTGAGAGTCGAAACCTAAGAAGAGGGGAGGTCTTCGGTCCAGCTCTGAAAATTTGGTAAGTGCCATTGCTAGTGGTTGTTGCATCGAGCTTTTCAAGTTGATTCGGACGTGGACCGACCAAATTCAGGAGGGGTCCAATTTACCTTGCACATTTCGTTCCGGTAGAGTGAGCTGTGGTCGTGAACCCGTGCCCTTCACTGGAGTGATCTCATGGTCGCAAAACCGATGGCGAGCCCACTTCAATTTAAAAGTTTCGTCAAAAGTGACGACCCTATAGGCGAAAAGTGACATGTTTGAAAGGACGCTCAGCTGATGTGGATGATTCGCACCTAACCTGCGGATGTGGCTTTACCTGCGGGACGCCTTCTGCTACTGAGCCGAATCAGCACCATTGACCGTTTTGGGATCTCAACCACCCCCCCGAGCATGTGCATGTGCGTGTGTGTGTGTAAACGATGCGTTGGACTGTCTTCGACACACAAGAGTTTGTTATCACAGTTGTCGCACTCTGCACTAGACGGGCGTGGTGTGAAAGCATAGGCCGGCTAGTCCCAACTCGAAGTGTTTTGTCGAAGAGGCCATGGACCGCCATCAGAGGAGGCTGGTGTCTTTAAGGATGTTTGAGGGAGGGCGAACTGAACACATGCCCTCCGCAAATCCACCCCCAATGACTGACTACTGTATTAGGCGCTATAGGCCCGTCGGCTGGCCACATTTGGCCAGCCCTTGCTGCCTGGAGCCGGAGCGAAGCCGTAGTTCTTAGAGCAGAGTCCACACGCCTTGATCATGGCCTTTATCGCGAATTCGTGTACTGCATGCTTGTCGAGCCTTGTCGACCACCTTTGCGACAGGTGCAGCTTGGATGTGCGATCCGCTCCTGCTAGTCCGGCTGCTGTGGACAAGGCTGCCAGGATCTTCCAGGTAAGTTGAACTATATTGAACTGTAGCGGAGGTGTCGTGTTGTCACTGATTTGGCAGAGCTGCAACCGAACAACAGGTCATATGCACACGCAAATGTGTTCCCTTTACACAGATGCGCGTAAGCATGACATGGAGCAAACAAGGCGTTCGATGTCCAGCTGAGAAGGAGGCGTGCTGACATGATTTTTGAGTTTGTCACGGTGAATCATCCTGTCAGCAAGCCTTGGTTTGATCGAATTGCTGAGACAGGGTTTCGTTGTGTTAAGGTACCATATAGGACCTGAGTCGTGCAGGCATCAATGTGCGCGCAGCTGAACATGGGTCCATCCATGTCTTTTCGTGTAAGTGCAGACGGCTTGGTGTAGATTGCACACCCATCATTGTGCGATATTGTGCGGTTCCAGGTTTGGCAGTGAACTACAAGCTCCAGTTGTGGACAAGGCCGGCTGCGGAGACCAAATGCATTCACAGGCGTTGCGACTTCTTCAACATCAATCGCTGCACTTTCCTGTCCTTGCACTTATCTGACTCTGCCGTAGCAACACGCCCTGCCAAATTGCCAAAGTCAAGTCTTTTTTCATGGTTGTGTGCTGTGGGGTCGTTGTGAACAGCCCTTCAAACGCCTAAAGGCAGCGTGCTCCCACAATCTGGAGGAGGCAGAAGGCAAGACCGGGAGCTCTCTGAGGCGGACGCGCTTAGTGCAGGGCGAATTGCCGTGCATTCGGTCAATGCTGTGACCTGTGTAAGTGCAATTTTATAAGCATGGTTGCAATAAGGTAATCCGTTATTCGTGGTTTCGGCACCCTCATCATTGCATTATTAGATTCTGCACGATCCTTCTCATCCTCATGCCCAGTCTAGGCTTGCTTTATTTTGCTTTCATATACCCTCATGCATACGCAGCAACAGCATTTTCCTGGTCGTTGATCTTGCTTGAATCCACGTCATGTACTGCAACTGCGGTGTGTTGAAGAAGACGCGTACCATTCGCTAGGTTTCTTCTCGTGCGCCACGGGGAGAGTGCCAACCGGACGCTCAGCTACACCACGAGCCGACATCCTGTCAGAACTCTGCAAACGGACCATGACGGAATGGGGCCGGTTTTCGCGACCAAGGGGCAGCGCAAGCAAATGCCCCGATCCTGCGCTGTCTACTAAAGGCCTGTCCTTGCACGGTCGCAGCAGTCCTTGCTTTTTGTTCACTCACCTGCCCGGCTGATAGGCTGACCCGAAGACGGTAGAAACGGCTGAATCTGATGAAGGAAGTTCCTTGTAAAAGTTGTTAAGCGAAATTATGATGCCAAGAGTATATATACATATATACACACATGCGATCTGTTTTTGTTGCACGATGCACCGCTGGTATCTCCAAAAGATGTTCTGGAGCAGGCCAGCGGCAAGCGGAGGCATTGGCTGACCGTTTGGTTGGCGAGATGCAGAAGGACAGGAAGCCCGCTGTAGTGCGTTGCATGTAGAGTTGGAACTGGAATAGTTCAAACCCGGGAGAGGTTGCGGCTGCTGGTGACCTGCAAATCTGGTGTAGCCCCATGCTGCGATGCTTGCAGACAATCAAGCCGGCAGCTCATCTGCATTCAAAGGCTAAACATATTACGAGGAGAAGGTTGATTGCAAATTATCGCTGTGGTTTCTTTACACATTTACAGCTGCACATTTGAAGGCAATATTCTCTCACTTCCTGCAGCAGTTCCCGGTGCACACCTGCGCAAGCTTAAACTGGCTGTTTGGCCCTTCATGTCAATTCCACGGCTGCACCAGCAATGCTGCTACAGTATGCTACTCTTGCTTGGAAATGCCTTGCCACCAAGACGATGGACGTGTTGGACTTGCCGAAAAGCAAATGCATTTGCCATGGCTTCGCAGCGGCATTCGGACATTCATTCCTGAAGTTTGGATGGATTCCCAAGTGAATGCAACATGAGGCATAGAGAACAGCGGTTTGATACGGGTGGGCTGAGTTGGCTAAGAGCAGCAACATGACCTCATAGGCAGCTTGACTCAGTGCAGGGCTTGGCAGCCAAAGCAGAGACGCTGCAAAACAGAGCCACGGTCCCTGGTGCAGAGGTGCTTGCTACGAGCACGGCTGTGCAGGACTCTCTTTTGAGGGAGCCTTGGCTTTCCGACGTAAGATTTGTGGAGTTTTGACCGATGCATGATGTGGCATGATGCGGCGTGTCTTCTGGGCGCTGCGCAGTGGTCTGGAGCCTTCAGAATCAAATGCTTCGAATCTGCAGCTCGCAACTACTTTGAAGTCAGAGGACACTCGCATGTTGCGTTGGAGTGGCGGCATCTAGGACATGCATTTCTTTCAACACTCTGGAAGGTTGTGTGGGCTTCAAGCTCGTTTTCTTACGTGATGCCTGTCAGTGCCGAGCAGAACCGGCGCATAGGTTTGGTGACCACACTGTAATTTTAAAGTTCATGTGTTTGTGAGGCACGCCAGCTGCGATCATTGCGGCTCGGCCAGGTGTTCAGAAAACACTTGTCACCAAGTGCCAAGTATATCATTATGACGTTGCTGACAGTTTAAAACCGGAGTTGGATGATCAAGTTCAAGCTTTGTACAAATTGCGACAGTGTGAATAGTCCGCAGCTGCATCCGAATGATGAATCCTTCTGCACCTTATTATTGGTTGGATGCTGGTGGCCCTCTGGAACCTCCGTCACTCAGGATTGCAATAATAAAAGTATAATTGCCGGCCATCGTGTCGAATCGCGTCGCAGCCAAGGAAGAGCAGTTTCCGAATTTCCGGTTTACGGGCTCCACACTCAGTCACGCTGAGTCTTGCTGTGTAGCCAGAAGGCTCAATTATGCTGTTGTGAGAGTGGGAGGACAGGACAAGATGTGAATTTTCATAGTTGTCGCAATTTGTCATGCTACTTTATATGTGCGACAAAAGCTCTGCTGTGACATTTGGCTCGAGCACCTCATGGCTTGCCAAATCCTTTTACCCGCGTTCGGGCTGGGGGCCGTGGAGCACTGCTTGGCTGATTTGGCTTGCTGCTTGGAATCCTAACTGCCTGGGAAGTATTTCCGATAGTTTGTTGCATGGGCGCATGGATGGCTCGGAGACTAGTGCCTTCAGGCATATCCCTGCGTCTTGTACCAAGTGTTGCGGACTCCTGCAGTCTTACCTTCAGTTCCAGGACTTGGCACTACATGGAACTACTAGAAGGATCTAGGGCCTAGGGGACCGTGATTTAATTACTGTGACTGTGACATTCAGGACCGGCCATGTCCCGGCGGATTACTAAACTATGGCTGCTGTGGTGGACAGCATTAGCTGTGAGGACAGATTCGGATTCAAATGATGAAGACAGAAGCTTTCCAGCAAAGAGGTGTAATTCTCTCGGGAACGGCCTGCACTTGTGACCTCATTGTGTCTCGGAAGTGACGAGCCCGACTGATCCTAAGCACTGTATCCTCAAGTTGGTGCCGTGCTGCCCAGGATACAGAAAGGGCTTGGTGATTTGGGTCTACACCTTGAACCTTGGAAAACTCAGTCCCTTGGCGATCCGACCGACGTAGTCCCAGGCATCCGAACGAACCAGAGTGCCGTACCAGTTCATTGTTCTGCTCACTACTTGACACACTACCTTGAGTCTAGTCAGCATCGGATGATTGACTTGATAGCGTATTTTTCAGGAGAAGGTTGAGTTTGAATGGTTCACGGAAAAAAATGTGGTTTTGGGGCAGGCCGGCAGGGGGCAGCGGGGTGGGTTGAATCCGATGCTTTCGTCTGACTATCGGGTACACTTACAATTTACCCTTACATCACCCACGCAAACATGCGCCGGCGTGTATGCCTATGCCTGCGCACGACAAGCACAAAAACACACACAGACACACACACACACACACACACACACACACACACGCACGCAGGACTCACTGCACATTCGTACCTGTTTAGCTGGACATATTCGTACCTGTTTTTTCTGGACATATACTTACAGTGTTGCAGACCTCAGCCCGTTCAATTTGTGATATCTCAGCTTCACTGATTCAGCAATCCCCCGAGGAGTAAATGATTCTAGTCATTGTTGCGCACGCATTTAGATGAGTTTAGGCTTGAGCCACAGTCTTTGCAGTCGCATTGGGAGGGGCAGAACTTGTTGCACTCACACTGTGCTCGACAGACAAGGGCAAGCAGTCGTGGCATGCCACCACAATGACTTCAAATGTTGAAACAGGCTTGGCCAGAATGCCAGCAGCAGTTTCTCCCAGTGCAATCACAAAGATACATTTGCCAGTTGAACTGCTTCAGACGGATATGGGAGCAAAGTCATTGGCTTTTCACGTTTGGTGGTTTGCTACTAGCCTGTCTCGTTTCTCCAAATTGCTCCTGGGTGCTGCCATGCTACTGAGGTTTGCCTGCCCTGTGAGAGTGTGACGATCGATTGTGTGTTGCGCATCTCTTGCCGCAATCCTGTCATTGCGCACATGTCAAAAATGCAGTGCAGCTGAAGCATTGCGCCCAACAACCAATGCCAAAGCACGCGAGCTTGTGAAAAAAATCCTTGCAAAGCCTGTTCCTGAACCTGAAACTTGAAAGAGCCCCAAGCCATGCCAGGCCACTGCCACTGTTTGACACAAAACAATAGCACGAGCAGTCACACCAAGACTCCAAAGTGAGGCAGCTGTCTCCTTCTAAATGTCACATGCTTTCAGCCCTCCAACAGTTAGTTCAAGAGGCCCGCAACTGGAATGCATGAGCACAAGTGCCTACTCACTTTCGCTGGTTACGACTTGCATATATGACAGGCGCAAGAACTTTCACAATGACAAGCATGGTTTTGGATCCCTGTCAATGCTCAGGCAAGCCGGGGAACCGAGCGGGCATTGAAGACATGGTCGACAACTTGCTGGCGAAAGCTCGAGACCAGCGCGTCAAGCTGGTGTCTGTCAACTTCCAGGTTCTGCGACTCCTAACCCTGGGTCGACAGTCTAGTTGCGACCATGAGCAAAGAGAGTCCACAGACAGCAAGGAGGGATTTCTGCTTTGCAGGAAGCTCCGAGTGAAAAGACCTTCTTCATCAGGCCGGTCACAGGGTGGAATCGTGGCCGCACAGCTTCGTGGTGAGCTCCTACTAACACTTCGTTGCAACATTGCGCATGCGCAGAGCACTCTAAAGCAGCACCTGCTTTCAACCTATCGTTCATGGAGAGCACCGGCACTTTGAATTTGACTGTGCCGGTAGACTAAACAGACCCAGGAGGGTCATCAGAACGCGCCATCTTTGCAATGAGCAGCATCTCGGACATCAAAGACTGAGGAGAGCCATCTGGCAAGGGAGGTCCTCCAACGTTTTGCCGATGGTTGCTGCATCGTCAGCTGTATGCAGGTCAGGTGCAGCTGAGGCTCCATGCCATCCAGATAAAATGCGACTTCGCCCTCTTCTCCTACCTGTACATCGCTGACTACAGAACAGAGCGACAGGTTTCTCGGTCAATCTGGATGCGCGCAGAAAATTACCCACTTCTTCCCGAAAGCGACAACTATACATACGAGGAACGGACAGAGTCATTGCCCAAGTCCTGATTCCGATGTTGCGACGGAGTCGAAACTACGTGCCAGGCTAGCTTAGTCTGATACAGGGAATGGGGGTCAGAAGGAAACCACGTGGTGCGGATGAAAGGCTGGCAGCGGTTTAAACATTCTTGTGTGCGACTCGTGGGTAACACTCAGCATGTCATAGCATTTGCCGGAATCAAATTACATTAGGTGCCGCACATACTCGACTTTGCTGACTCCATATCTGATATTTGCTTACCCCACCCCCGTTCTCTATACCGTTGCCAAGATGCCTGTGGATGGCGACATCCGGGGAGTGAGGAGATGCTGTGACAGCATCCGGTAGCATTTGCAATGCTTGCTTTTCAATCCTTGGAGTTCGTGTATCAGGACTTTGGTTTTCACGTCCGGCCCCTATGCGGCCGCATCATCTGCTGAGCCAGCTATAGTTTCAGCTTCAAGTGATTTGATGTCAAGGCAAAAACAACTCCGGGATCTAGAGTCCACTGACATTGTCGACGACAAGTGCCTCGTCTGTGTCCGCAAGCTTCAGTGCACAGGTTCTTGCAGCGCCCTTACTGACAGAGAGATTTGCCAGCAGGTACGCCGAGGGATGCGGGGCTGGGAAGGAGTCGAAGGAACTACCTGAGACCTACTGGGGAGGTGGCGTCTGCGAGGGTTGAAAGTCGAAACTAGCAGCTGTTGCGGATGGGCATATGCGAGCGGCAAGCCCGGCATTCAGTTGCAAGTGCGACTTCCAGGCGTCCTGCACGATGATGCGCCGAAACCGGCGAATGCCTTACATTATGCGAGCATTATTCTGGAGAGCTTTGCGCATGCGACCGGACGGGGTCAGCCGCATCGGCTGCAGACTAACTACAGCATACGGCAACTGCATGCGAAGGAGCAATACTACACATACTACACTGCCTAGGACATCGACGTGATCAAGGCGGCACAGAGATGCCACGGGGCCAGGGCCTGAGAAGAGCCAGCACAATTGCATCTGCACTTGACCATGCAAGCTGCAGTCCAGGCGCGGGACCCTTAGGCCAAACTAGGAAAATCAGCCGTTTTTGAGCCCAAAGACATGCAACATCATTGTCTGTGCTGCATACCGTCACTCAAAGCAACAGCGCGGATCTTCGCTGGCACGCACTCCAAACACTTCCTGAAGTCTGTCCAGCTTCTACCAAGAGTCCTACTCGGTGTAAGTGTAATACTATCAGAATCTGTGGAAAGTATTTTCGGGAAATGCCCGTCTACCTTGCAGACCATGCCCTGGGTGAGCTCGCCTCCGCAGCACCCACCCCTGGCATTCCAAAGCCAATTGGGCTTGGGAAATTCAAGCTTTAGATGAGGGCCAAGCATCCGAGTCATGTGGATTCCCTGAGGTGGCCGTGAAGCATGCGACTTGGCCATGTGCAAGCTCGAAGCCAACATGGGTCCTGCTGCAAAGCGTTTCCGTTGGAGCACCCAAGGAGGACTACGTGGGTGTTGCGGCGAAGGCCACCCTGATGACTCGATATAGCGTCTTGCCATGAAGCCTTGAAGATTTCAGATGTCATGGAGCCATGCAAGTCTGGGAAGTCGTTGTCCTGCTCATCAGTGGCGTCGCTTCGAAGACTGAGGAGTTCACTATGTTCATGGCGGGGCCAATCGCAAGATCGACTTCATCGTCAGCACCTCGCACTTGGGAGTCATTCCGAATGCCAAGGCCTCAATCTGAACCTGCCCGACCGACCCAACCCGCCGCCCCCCGCAAAGGAGATCACAAAGAGACTTCCTCGTCCACTGTTTTCACTGCTGTCGTGGCAGGACATGTTTCGCATGGCGGAGAGATCACAGGCCCGCACAAGAGCTGCAGTGCCCGTCATGGCCCACGATACAGTAGCTTCAGAGCGTCTGAAAGCACAGAGGTGGACCCGACTGACCTGCCAATTTCGTCAATGATGTTGCTGTTCCGTTGCTATCCTCGGGGCTTCTGACCTCGCGATTTGTGCAGGAGCTGGGGCAAGCGATGGATGCCCTCAAGCTTGTTAGCGACAACTACACAGTCCCTACGTTCATGACTGGAGTCTCATCTTTCTGGATATGGTTTGCTCGCAGAACAAAGCAGTGTGACGGTAAACAGCAGTTTACTTCAACCGGCGCAAATTCTGAGTTTCGGCACGGATTCGAAGTTCCTTTGCAACATCTTCCATGAGGGTCATGGGCTGCCTGTCGAGGAGACTGGAACTTCCGCATGGTGCCCTTTGACAGCCTGGCGGATTTCTCAAACTTCACAGGGCTGGACTACACCGGACCAGTGCCATGACCTGGTGCAGAGGGCGTTGCCCTTCCTTTTTTTCCTTCTACGAATGCACCTTTCTTGGTATAGGTTCTCACGAGTGTTAGTCACACACGTGTTCCATTGCCGATTTCTAGCTTGTTGTGGTTTCTCACGTTGTTGCTGCACCTCGTCTAGTTTTTGATCGCCACATGCATCGCTGAAACAGTAGTTTGGTCGGTGTGCACTAAATCCTGCAAGGTCCTCCACCTGGTGAACGGATCGGTGCGAAGTGCCTGGGTAAGCAGGAGTCCGATGCGTCCTGGCGTTGCCTACGAGGATCTCTGAAGCAGAGCTTCCACTGCCACGGCTTTGCATTCGGCTCGGCTGCAGGGTAATCCAGGTATCTGTTTCATTTCTGAAGCTGGGAAGGTGCCATGCTATGCCACGCTCAACATGACTACCCCGTACAGTAGCAGGGAGATTGTGTACCGGAAGTCGCATGGTCAGCAGCAGAGGCTCAATAGATCCCCAGAGATCCAAGTTTTTTGCAGAGGAGACGCGAGTGGCAGCTGTGGCCCTGCAGCCTCAACACATCTCCAAAATGAGGCGAGTCTGCGAAATCTAACCTTGCCCAGCCCTTGCTCCTACATGGACAGATCGGAGCACGGTGCGCTCCTGACTCCTGTCGTTTTGCGTCTTCGCAGTTGGCTTCAGCCCCTGAATCCGGGCTTTTATGAGCTGTACCAGCACTTCACCACACTCTGGCCTCTGAGCATGCACTAGCTCGCGTTTGCCCATGGCGAGCCTTCCGATCTCAGTGGAGTACATACACTCGTTAAGACTGGCTCTTGAGCTGCGACGAGTCAGGACAGCAAGCTTCTGCTGAAAATGTTGAGATGGCAGGACCAGTGGATATGGAAAGACAGTGCTTGACAGCTTAGGGAGCGTGCGCCAACATGCCGCTTTCAAGAACACCATGTTCGTTCCCCTCCATCCTCAGCTCCCTGGTCGCAAAACGGACACGGAACACCGAGCGGCATGGACAAGCATCGATGCCTCTGCCGAGATTCCCTTCGTGGTGCTCGAAGACTATGCCAACGAAGCCGTGTTGCCTTCAGCGGAGTTCCTGTCGTTGGATGGCGATTTGGAACAAATTGAGCACGTGCTTTGTTCCCAAAGGTGTGGTACTTGTATAGCACGCCTTAGCACTATATTGGGGATGTATGGGGCTCTTACGTTATGTGTAACTGCAAATCCAGCCGCGTTCTTGCCTTGTTTCCATTGTAAAATACAGCGGCCCCTGTTGCGTTTCCGAATTGATGAATCGCGCTCCCGCCACACCTCTGCGTCTTTTGGTGTATTTTCGGGTGGGGCCTGGCGCTGCGTGCTCATTTGGCTTGCAAAATGTTACAAGCCGCTGGGTGCTAGCAACCCCTTGCTATTCCGCTCCTCGGGGTCGTTGTTGTCTTGTTTTAATCCCGAGACTTGTCATGCATGCATGACGAGACCACGTCACCCTCGAGATCCCTCGAGAAACGCAAGAGCCACGAGCAGTAGCTCACCCGGCCCTATTACACCTTGAAAAAATCCTTAAAGGATTTTGATGTGCAGAACGTGTGGGCGAAGCGAACCTGTCAAACCAGACAACCTCGACCTGAACCTAAACACAATAGTTCTCTCGCCACATGCATGCCGACGCACTGACATGCATGTGTGCAGAGCTGGAGTGCCACCCTGTGAAGGTGGAAAGTGGGAATTGTTCAAGGAAGAGGGCTTTGACTTGACCAAGGCCTTCAGACGTGGTTGCATTGCACTAGGTGTCGAACGTTCGGTGCATCCACAAATCCCTTCAGCTGCTGCTGCCGCTGCCGCTTCCGCTGCGGCTGCTGCTGCTGCTGCTGCTACGGTTTAGTACGAATGTTACTTTTAGCAGAACTATTGCCACCATCGCTAGTACTAGTACTAGTACTTGTACTTGTACTTGTACTAGTACTAGTAAGTAGTAGTAGTAGTAGTAGTAGTAGTAGTAGTACTACTACTACTACTACTGCTACTACTGCTACTGCTACTACTGCTACTACTATTTCTGCTGTACCATTGCTATTACTGCTACTGGTACTGCAACGACGAACTACTCATTGCAACTACCACTCCTACTACTACTACTACTACTACTACTACTACTACCACTACTAGCCAC